ATGGCTCTAAATCAAGGCCACCAGTTTGCTGAAACTGTTGGTTTCAAGCAGGAGCCTAAAGAAATGTCTTTCTGTGGTCTGTTGGCCATTTCAGAACTTCGGAAATGTAATGGTCAATTCATTAGAAAGAAACATTTGGTTAGGAGGAAAAAAAAAAAGAGGTGGCAGGAGCTGGTAGTTCATGCCTATAATTCTAGCTGCTCAGGAGGCAGAGATCAGGAAGATTGCAGTTCGAAGCCAGCCCGGGAAAATAGTTCATAAGCACCTATCTTGAAAAGACCCATCACAAAAAAAAAAATAATAAAAATGGGCTGGTGGAGTGGGTCAAGGCCCTGAGTGCAAAAAAAAAGAGTGTGTACAAAGGCAGGAGAAAAAAAACGGCAAGTTACTAACAGTGCTAGGGAATGGAGTCATTATGGCAGGACATGATTACAGGTAGTACCCAGTTTATGGAGGGCCATACAGGCAGGCCCCCCAAAAGGAGTTTAGATTCTGCTCTAAAGGCAGGTAGATGTCTGTCACTTGAACCATTCTGCCAGCCTTATTTTGTGTTGGGTATTTTCAAGATAGTCTCATGAACTATTTAAAATGCTTGGGCTGGCTTCAAGCCACATCCTTGTGATCTCTGCCTCCTGAGTAGCTGGGATTTTGACTTCTTCACTAGTCATAAGGAGATGGCTAGGTTTTTCTTTTCTTTTTGACAGGGTCTTGCTATTAGCTTAGGCTGACCTGGATGTCATGATCCTCCTACCTCAGCCTCCCCAGTGCTGGGATTATAAGTATGCACCACATGTCCGGCTTGGTATTTCTTGAGTGGAAAATGATATATAGCTGGCTAGCTCACTGGGATCTGTGTACAATCCAGGGCTTATCCATGGAAATAAATCATGTGTACTCATAAGTCAGTCATTAAGTACCATTTCCCTTAATATTTGTGGGGGAGAGGGACCCCCACCATTATCAAAATCTAGGTGTTCAAATCTCTCATGTAAAATGGTGTAGTAATTGCATATAGTGTACATATATCCTCTCACAGACTTCAGAGTGTATCTAGATGACTTGTAATACCTAATACAATGTAAATAGTTGTGATACTGTATTGCTACAATACCAAATAGAAAAAAAAAATCTGTATGTTCAATGCCAGTGCAATTGTTGGTCCACAGTTGGTTGAATCCATGAATGCCAAACCCTTAAATACAGGGTACTTTTTTTTTTTTTTTTTTAAAGCAGAGTATGACCTAATTCAATTTGCTCACAAAAGCCCCTAGCAGTAATTTAGAGTGAGTTATATGGGGTTCATGGACCCAGTCTGAACAGTTAGGAGACTATTTCAGAACTCTGAGTCTACATTGGCTCAGTAAATGGAGAGGAAAAAGTATAGAAAGAGTCAGAGGCATTGGGAGGCTGAGAGCGGGAGGATCACAGTCCATGGCCAGCCCAGGCAAATAGTTCAAGAGACCCCCATATTCAAAATAATGAACAAAATGGGCTGGAGGCATGACTCAAGTGATAAGAATGTCTGCTTTGCAAGCATGAAGCTCTGAGTTCAAAACCCAGTCCCACCAAAAATAGGAGGCAGAGGCAGACTGGTCAGTCTTGGTGGTTGATTAGAGTGAGTTTAAAGAACCAGGTGACTGGAATGCTACTGCCATTTACTGAAGCAGGGGCCACCAGGGAGAGAGAGCGGGTTTGTGATCGTGAGCAGAAGTTGGTGAGAAAAAATGGATGAATTCAGTTGAAGTTTGAAGTACCTGTGTCAACCAGGCGGAGCTCTTGTCTAGGTATAAGTTCTTGCACTTGGATAAGTAACAAGGAGGCAAGGTTTAAGGATCATGAGGATGTTGGAGTGGGTAAAGAAGAAACTGTCCAGAGAGTGCATGTGGCATGAGAAGTCAGTAGGGCAGCTTCTTGGGGCAGATCCTGCATATATCTGAAATGACTTGTTTAAAGGATAACCAAATAGCTGTTTGTTTTGCAGACGGATCTGTTTGGCTGAAGCATTTCTCACCGCAGATACTATATTGAATACATTGCAGAACATTTCTGAAGGATTGGTGGTATACCCCAAAGTAAGAGACATTGATAATACTCAAGTATTAGGGAGGGACTAGGATGTGGGAAGTGGCATGCTCTGGAGTGACTATATGCTGGCTCAGTGGGAGTTCTACCTGGAACTCATCCTTGACTCTAACATGGAACATGAGTTCTAGGGAACTGGTTCTGTGGCATTCACAGAACAAGGAAAAAGAGTACTTTGAATCGCCTTGAGCCATTCAGCAGCATGAACCTAGCTCACAGTGACTAGACCGAGTAGGTGGCACCATTTGCCTGGTTTTAAGTGCCAGAGACAGATAGGTTCATCTCTGTCTTTTGGGTTTTGTCTGTCTTTGCAGTGCTGGGGATGGAACCCAGTGCCTTTTGTATGCCAGGCAAGTGCTATGTGCTGTAGGTTCATTTCCCTAGTACATTCAGTTCTTGAGGCTGGGTGACTAAATTTAGCAAGCTTGAGGCTTAAGAGTTCTTACGAAGTAGCTTTGGAACGTTTACTTATACAATACTCCCTTTTTTTTTCCAGTACTGAGGTTTGAACTCAGGGCCTTATACCTTATACCTGTTAGGCATATACTCTACCACTTGAGCCAAGCCTCCGGCCCCCAATATATATATATTTTTTTTAAATTAAATCTCTGGATTTGTAAGAAAAATAAAAAATACAGTAACAAATAAAATAACTCATTACGCTAAATAATAGTAGTTCATATGTATTTTGCTTGACATAGTTGGTATCCTGTGGTGCGAGGCTTTATGACTCGAGCCCTCTGTCTTGGCCTTTTATGTTTTCTTTTGTAGGTGATTGAGCGGCACATTCGGCAAGAGCTGCCTTTCATGGCCACAGAGAACATTATCGTGGCAATGGTCAAAGCTGGAGGTAACCGGCAGGTGTGTAGCCCTTGTACTCCTGGATCATTTGTACACTTTAGTTGTGCCCTCTCCTCTCTGAAGACGGATGGATAAAGGAAAGAGTTTTTTGTTTTTTTGGTTTTTTTTAGCAGTAGTAGGGTTTGAACTCAGGGCCTCAGGCTTGCTAAGCAGGCACTCTGTCACTTGAGCCACTCCATCAGCCCTGTGTTTGGGGTATTTTAGAGATAGGGTCTTCAGAATTATTTGCCTTGTCTGACCTTGAACTGTGTTCCTCCTGATCTCTGCATCCCAGGTAGCTAGGATTACAGGTGTGTGAGCCACATATGTCCAGTGAAGGAAAGCATTTCTTTCATTATCTCCAGTTATGGTATTGTTACAGAGTAATGACCATAATCTGCCACCTTTGCAAGGTGATTGTGTTGACCTCGATTTTTTAAAAGTCACTTACAGAAAAAGTGAAGGAGTTAGGTGATCAGGAAGAAAGAATAAATGGTTCATGTGAAGCCCTGAGTTCAAATTTCAGTGCTGCCAAAGAAAAGGAACAAATGGTTCATTAGGTTTTCTAGAAGAGGAGCAGTCATCTGAGTAAGATGTTATCCCAGAGTTAAGATTTAAGATCCTGATGGGGTCAGATAGGAACCACCTCAGCCTAGAGAGGTTTGGTTGTAAAGTATCTGATCACTGTTTAAGGAAACACCCTGTCTGTCAGTCATGAGCTAACACTGTACTGTGTCCCCAGGATTGCCATGAGAAAATCAGAGTGCTTTCCCAGCAAGCAGCTGCTGTGGTTAAACAGGAAGGAGGTGATAATGACCTTATAGAGCGCATCCAGGCAGATGCCTACTTCAGTCCCATTCACTCCCAGTTGGAGCATTTACTGGATCCTTCTTCTTTTACTGGTCGTGCACCCCAGCAGGTAGGCACCCATCAGAACACTTCTAAGTAGTCTTCCCCAGGGGCCCTCTTTCTACACTGCTTGCTTACAGACAGCAGATGCTGTCTGTGATGCTTCTCCTTTATGGGAAGTATGGAACGGAGCGAGGTAGAAATCAGATTTGGCTGTTTGAGTGCCCTTAAGTATTTCCCCATGTATTTCTCTTCATTCTCTTACCTCACAGTGGTATAAAGGTTGAAATACTTGGCATAGTGCTAAGTGCACAAGTGTTCATCAGTAAGGTGTTTTGTCACTTTCTCTTTGCCTTAATGGCTAGAAGGGTTAATTTGAAAACCTTAACTGGGCTGGGGATTTAGTTCAGTTGTAGAGTACTTGCCTAGCATTGGTGAGGCCCTGGGTTTGATCCCATATCTTGCTCTACCTCTCTCCCACCACCACCCCCCCCCAAAAAAAAAAAAAACAAACCTTAGGAGTTCAAACTGTGTATTCAGTTTTAATTCTGAGAATTTAAGTTACAAAATGTTTTTCTTCAGGGAGCTAAAATTTGTAATAGATCATTATAATACCAAGGAGTACATGTGGAAATTGAGGGAAGCATGTCTTTTGGTGGGATCACAAAGGACAAAACATCTCTTTCAAGGGAGAGTGTAGTAGAAATGAGCAAAAACTCCTTAGGAAGACATCACATCAGAGCTCACAATTAGGAGTTAGCCTAGTGATACCAGGCTTAGAGGAGAGATGGCAAGTTGAGACCTCTAACGTGAGAGCAACTATAGTAAGTTGTCAAGTGCCTAAGAATTAGTTATAAGAGTTGAAATTAAAGACAGGAGTTTGTTATTTATATTTGAATCACTGATGTGTTAGATAAGACTTGGATTTGAAAAGACTTCAAACTGGAGATAGGAAGACCAATAAAGAAGCCACTGCACATAGCCAAGCAATAAATGATGGAGATTTTGAACCAAAGCATTGGTGGTCCATATAGACAAGGGGAGGAAGAGACTAATCGATTAGTCACTTGGGTGACTGGTTGAATGGGGCTAGGGAGGAGAAAGGAAGACTGTGACAATTTCAGCATGGGTGCCTGGTTGGAAATGGTACGACCAACTCAAGAGAACACAGGCTGAACTTGTTAATGGGGAGGACAATCTATGTTGATGTAGTGAGTTAAAGTGCCTGTGTCTAGGGAGATATTTCCAGTTGGCAGTTGAAGAAAGTAGATGCTCAAAAGCTTTATCAAATTGGGTCTCAGTGATACCAACTGATACTGAAAAAAGTATTCCCTTAACATTTTCTTATGTTTTCTTTCCTCTTTGGTAGGTACAAAGATTCTTAGAAGAGGAGGTATATCCCCTGTTAAAACCATATGAAAGTGTGATGAAGGTGAAAGCAGAATTATGTTTGTAGAATTGGAAGAAAATTAAATGAAAAATCACTGATGATTTGTTAACTTTATTTTGGGGGCATGCAAATAGTATTACTGTGGTGCCTAAATTTTACCTCAAGAATTGCTGCCTTTTCTTTTCACAGTGCTTTTCTTTTTCCATGGTGTTTTCATGTTGCTCAGGGCTACAATGCAGAAACAAAGACCATTGTTGTTGACTCCATTCTTCATAGTGACTCAAACCCACACATAAACAGCTCATACTTGCTTTCTACCTTTCAAGGCATGCTTTCCAGCTGCCTCAAGTCTACAGATGTTTCTCAACTTTTCAGCGAGGTTATGAGAATCGCAACATAAATTTAATACACCCCACCTATCAAATATTCTAGGTTAGCTTAGCCTACCCTAAAAGTTCTCAAAACACATGTTCACCTACACTTGGGGGAAAAAAATCATGGACAGCAAAGTGTTGATTGTCATGTAATTTATTAAATGCTGTACTGAAAATGAAAAACAGTGGTTATATGGGTACATGGTCCCACTATCACAAAGTTGATAAATTGTAAGTTGAATCACCCTAAGTCAGGGACTTCTTATGATTTGTTCTATTGATTGTGAGGTAGCTAGAAATTCCTGGTCTTCTGAGGTGGATTCAACTTAAAACTATCAAAATAAGTGGATTCAGTGATGTGGTGTGGTAAGATACCTTTATTTTTGGTTATTTTTGGCTAGATTAATAAAATTCATAGCTATAGTAAATAATGATTTCCTCACAGCATCTGACACTTTTTTTTTTTTTTTTTTTTTTGTGCTGGGGTTTGAACTCAGGTCCTCATGCTTGTGAGACAGGCATTTTACCACTGGAGCCATGCCCCCAGCCCTGACACTCTAATTCTTATATGGATTGGTAGCTCATCGAACCCACTATAGCCAAGGAACATTGAGTTACGTATTACCCAACTGGAAAGACTGCACATTAGTCCTATCTCCAGTACATACTTTTTCAGTGTATAAAATGGAGAATGCTTTTGTCAGATTTGCAGTTTGTCAGATTTACATTAAACTAGGAGAATAACCAGCACATTTCCTTGGTAACAACTAATATTTCATCTGACAGGGATAAATGTAAATAAGTCAAACTTAAAAGTTAGTATGAGCTACAGCTGAAAAGACAGTTTTGGATAGATTATTGATAATAGTGTCCAGAAAAGCCATCAGAAACTGACAGTTCCACACAGCATTCTGTTCAGTTTTGCACATCTGTTAAGAGGATCTTCTAAAGAAGATCTCTGTCATGAGAATGAGGCAGGCTAGAGTTAGGGAAAGTTCAGGACCTGTAGAGAGAAATGTTACTCTGTTTCTCTGAGCCTTCAATTGCAGATGTGTATGTAGGTTACCCATGCACCTCTTCCCACTCATTATTGGATGGGAATCACCTGGTTCTTCCCTTTCCCTCGGTCAGCATAAGTTTTAAAAGCTCCTGGAGAGGGGAAGCACAGCTCTCTCTGCTTCTGGCTTCTACCTGGGTCTACCATGCTCCATTTTATAATTCCCTTCACTAATTTAATAAACTCGATTTATACCCATGGGTCCTGCCATGAGTTCTTCTAAGTGGGACACCAAGAATTTGGAAGTCCTGATCATGGATTGCACGATTGCTGTTAACAAGAAGTGATGAAGGAATGTTAAGCCTCTTCAACCTATGCAGGAAAAACCTGTTAATACTTTTTTCCTTCCCTCTTTCTGCACTACTACAGATTGAACTCCTGGCCTCATGCTTGCTAGGCAGGCACTCAGACTTGAGCTGTGCCTCCAGCCATTTTTGCTATATTTTTCAGATAGGGTCTTGCATTTTGTGCCTGAGCTGGCCTGGAATGCAGTCTTCCTGGTTATGCCTCAGTAGCTGGGATCCTATGATCCCACCTGAATGTGCAGTACCACATTCAGCTTTTTAAGTTAGCTCTTGCTAACTTTTGCCCAGGATGGCCTTGAACTGATCCTCCTGCCTTGACCTCCCAAGTGCTGGAATTACAGGAGTGCACCACCACACCAGGCTTGTTGACACTTTTAAATATTGTGTGAAGAGAGAGTGACTTGATTTTTCTTCTAGAGAAAATTGAGGCCAGTACCCATTGTTAACTAAGAGTGGTATGGGTACAGATACTGGAAAGGCTGAGAGTGACCCACTCAGCCCGCCAAGTCATAAAGGTAGAAGAATGCCTATTTGGGAGGAAAAGCAGAATCACAATTTTTAGTCAAAAGCCAGAAATTGGGTGCATGGTGTGTTTCTAAGCATGTGCAAGGCTCTGGGTTTGATCCTCGAGCTGAACAAAAACAGTAGCCAGAAATAAAGAGCTATTACAAAACAATTGAAGGCACTCCAGCAAGCCAGAGAAAATACAGCTTTGTGTGTGAGCAAGCATGGATTACAGATGGGCAACTTCCAGAACATGCATTTAATACACCTAAACTATGGAACACCACAGCTGTTGGGTGGGGGTGGGGCGGTGTATAATTTTAAACTAAGATGTGGTTTACTGTGTTATCAGGTCAATTTCGAGCTCATGGGCTCAAGTGGTCCTACCTCAGCCTCTAGGTAGCTGGGGCCACAGGTAGGCACCATATCTTTTTGTAAAACTTTTGAAGCGTGTTTGAAACTACTATGTATGGCACAAGAAAATTTAAGTTGGACTCTGATCAAGTACTCTTTTCCTTTTTTGGAATGCACCACTGGTAGGAAGCAGCTACTATCAGTGTAATCTAAGGATTCATATTATATCCCAGGCACACTGGGATATCAGTACCAGAGATTGTAGTTAATGAATTTCCTCGTAGACAGTAAGAAAACAAGACAAGCTTGTTCTGGAATGTTGTTAGACTTCTGACCTCTAGTGACTGGTGGTTTGGCCGGTTTTTCCTCCTGGGCAGTTTGAATGAGTGGGTTTGTGTATTTTCCTCTTTCATTTTCTTATATGTTTACACACTTGACCCTTTTTTCCCATGTAACATTCTAATTAGAGACATTTGGATGAACTGCAGGTTGGCTGGAAGAGAGAACCTTTCATGACTTGGGCTTTTTTGTGGGGAAGGGGAGTACTAATGGGGTTTGAACTCAGTTTTGTGCTTGCTTGGTAGGTGCTCTTCCACTTAAGCTATGCCCTCCATTCCTGCCTTATTTAAGATTAAATTCATGGGCTGGGCACTGGTGGCTCACACCTGTATTACTAGCTACTCAGGAGGCAGAGATCAGGAGAATCGAGGTTCAAAACCAGCCTGGGCAAATAGTTTGTGAAATCGTATCTTGGAAAAATCCATCACAAAAAAGGGCTGGTGGGTTCCCTGAGTTCAAGCCCCAGTACCACAAAAAAAGAAAAAA